AATAAAAACACACTATAAATAAAGGTAAGAGTTTGCATGTTGAGTAAATAAATAATTCATAATACACGGCCTTCTAAAGTTTACAAAAATTATTTATATACATTATATAATACTCATTAAAGCTTTTCTTATCCAAGAAAATGAAGTAGATGCCTATGTAATTTCACAACTTGCCCAAAGAAATTTTAAATTGAAAGATTGAGTATTCAAGTTGGACTGGATTCATGGGTGGCTGTTTAATTCATCAAGATAACTGTTGTCTTCCTGCTGTGAAGCCCTGTTCTCTCTTCTTTGGCAGTAATTGAGATGTGCGTTTCCCCCCATTGCTTCTAAAGCATTTGCATTTTATAGTCAAAAGCATAAAGATTTAGGAGACAGCTCTTACCTGAGAATTGAGGTTTGAAAGCTTATAATCATTGAGAGAAAATACACTAATGTCTACACATGCCAGGAAGAAAGTGTTGCTGAATAGATACCTTATTTATTTAAAATATTATTTATATGCAATATAATACTCATTAAAGCTTTTCTTATCCAAAATAGTGAAGTATGAAACACACCATTTAAAATACAGTAGATATATGCATATATGTATAGCTATATGTCTGTGGAAATGGATGTCTGATGTCCATAAGTAAATACATATAATTTTTATGTGATAATAGGTATATTTGCTGTGAAAGAAAAATAAGTCCCATTTAGTTTACTGTGCTTAACTTTATATTGTCTCCAAAGAAAGAACCTCTAATCACATGTCATAGAACTATACCAAGACTGGATTATATTTTACTGTTTGTTACAGACAAAACAACTAATATGGCAAGCTAATTATTTTTTTATTTAATGGGTGACAATATTTATATTTACAGTCAAGAATTATTTGTTCAGTCATACATGATGAAATCATAATTCAGTCCAAATAGACATACACACACATACTACACACACACACACACACACACACACACACACTTTCATGCCAAAGAGTATTTATATATTGATTCAAACCTCGGCATACACTTTCTACATATGTTAAATTTCTTCGTAATTATCAAATGCCTGACAAAAGCAATTTAACAAATGAAACTATTATTTTGAGTGACAGTTTGAAAGTCTACAGCTCATTGTGACAAGGGACACATGTTCAACAAGAGTGTGGGGTAGCTGATCATGTACCCATAGTCAGGAATCAAAGAGATAAATCTAATGCTCAGGCGGCTTTCTCACTTTCCCTCTTTTACTTAATTTAGGAGGCCAGCACATTAGGTGGTTGTGCCCAAGTTCAGAGTTGGTCTCCTCTCCCCAGCTGAATATCTCTGGACACATCCTCACATGGATCCAAAAGTGTGTCTCCCAGGTGATTTCTAATCTAGTCAAGTTAGCAATGAAGATTAACTATCACATCTTCCATAATGAACTAGTTCTCACAACTTCACCACAATTGATAGCAGTAATTTGTGACAATAGTAATCTCAAATATGTGAATGTAAGCAAGCAGCATAAAATAGTGCAGACTCAGACAGTTTTCACTTTCAAAGTAATGTCATTCTGCCATAAAGCAGATAGTTTTGGCTGTAAAAAACTATGAATCAGACCAGCCTACATTAACTCTTACTATATTACAGCTCTGTTTCTTTTGGATACCAAGTATAGGTGAGGAAACATAGTGTTAACAAGAAAACTAATAGAACTAAATAATTGAACTAATAGACCTCAATCTACCTACCATGAACTTACCCTTTATAAAAACTTAAAATAAACTTTCACATCTCCTCAAGTTTAGAATTCTTTGTAGGTATAGATTTATGATCTATTGGTCTTTGAATTGGCCAGGTCAATACATTATACAATTTTCATTCAACTAAGTAATCTTTATGTTGACATTAAGTTCAAGTATACAATGCCCAATGCCTTGTCACGAAGCACATTCACAGATCAGCAAAGAATTATCCTTCCATTATCTAAGATAACACTAACATTTTTACCAAGTTCTAGCCAGATATACCCTTCTTAGAAAATAAAGTCACTATAAAACCCTAAGACAATGCTAATATTTCTCTATATACACATACACACCCACTGGCAATTTATATTGCCAACTGTCAATATAGATTGTAGATTTCCACAGTTAATATGTATATATAAATTAAATGTTCTAATTTGTTTTGATTGTTCATAATAGGTACATAATAAACAGCATGTGGTGTCAGGCATTAGTGACCCCAACTTTTTTTAACCCATGTGAAACTGTAATTTTGAAACTCACATGTTTTAAATAATCCTTAAAATTAATCCATCCATCCACTCATTCATCAGCTATTAAACACTACCATTATGCATATTCCTTTTTTGATTTATCAAGACAGGGTTTCTCCTATTAAGTATATTCTAAAGTTCACAAAATTATTTGCAAATATTATATAATATTTACTAGCAATAATAAGAAAGTTCTGGAATTCATAGATAGAGAGAGAAGTTCAATGTGTGGCATATAAGTAACAAATAGAAACAGATAGGAACAGATGAGGAATGAGATGCACCTTTCAAGACATGACATAAGCACCTGGATATCTCTAATCAGAAACCACTCTCTATGATCCTCATTGCCTTATAATTGCCCCTTCAATTATAAATCTGCAAACCAGTTAATTCATTGATTAAGTGAGAATTCCTCATGATCTAATCTTTAGAACTCTATCAATGAACTTTGCAGTATAAAGCAAGCCTTCCATATACAAGCTTGGAGGTATCATTTCATATCTAAGCCACAGCCATGGTTGTAGAAGATCACTGCTCACTATCACATATAATCCAGGACCTTCTTTGAGCTGCTGAATGTCTTTTTACATACTATAAAAATGCCATTGGATCCCCCAGCAAAATATTGTGTTCTAAAAGATTTCTTTAAGTCTGACTTAGGTACTTCCATCTCTTGAAAGTTCTGAATTGGCTACATAAATTATATCCTTACAGAAAAAGTAAAATGAACTGTTACAGTCACAGGATTTATAACATGAGGCACAGGTACAGTAACCAATGTTCCTCAGAGAAGTTATCAGACTATAATGAAATTTATAGAATATTAAATTGTTAAATGCAGATTGTTAAAATTAAATTAACTTTATAGTAAATCATCTAAAGTTCATGTCAGATTTAGACTAATTAAACTGAAGGAAAAATGTGTGTGAGTATCAAAGAGGAACCACATACAGTAAAAATTTCATAGGCAGGCTTAATTTATGTACTTATTAATATATATAAGTCTAATGAGGGATATGGTGTGAAACAGTAGCTAGTGTAAATAGTTTGAACTTGAGAGTTAAATAGATCTAAGGTTCAGTGGGTCCACTCTAGATAAGTTCATTTTATTCAATTTTCATTACTGTTTCTCTTAAGTGGAAAACAAAGGGTACTTCATGTAATCAATTTTCATTTGCATAGTGATTGAAACTAGACATGTAAGACACAATATTGGCTATGTATGTGATCAAAGAGTGCCAGATGTTACCCTACGTGTGAGCCTTACAATGGCTTGGGAGTGGGAGAGTTTAGAAATATATGCATAATTTCCAACCTTAGCACAGCAACATAATGACAAGGTATAAGGAAAATACAAGGTACAACCTTTTTTTGCAATATGAACTGTATGATAAAATATTGTACATAATCTTTAGCTGATGTGATTAATATTAATTCCATGCTATCATGAGCCCAGGACACTTCCACACTACTCAAACGTGACTTCAGAACAAGTAAATTAGTCTCTAACACACAAGATATAATTACTAATGAAGAGATAGAAAATAAATAATTGCAATATTATCAAATTATAATAACTTATGTAACATGAGGGCCAGCTAGTTGGGATTTATGTCTTGCCCAGTTCCCCACAGCTGGCAAACCCCAAAGAAAATCACACAGAGGTCTCCATAAGTTATAAAACTGATTGGCCCATTAGCTCAGTCTTCTTATTAATAATTAGAATTATTATAATTCTTATTATATTAACCCATTGTTTTTATCTGTGCTAGTCAAATGGCTCAGTACCTTTCACAGCAGGGCAGGTCACATCTTGCCTCTTCAGAGTCTGGACAGGAGTGGGAGGAATCCACTTCCTCCTTCCAGGAATTCCTCTGTTCTCATAGAATCCTTTCTACTTCCTTTCTGATTTTCCCACCTATACTTTCTGCCTGGCCAATCAGCGTTTATTTAAAACATGATTGAAATAATACAGACAATTCTCCCGCACCAAAATTATATGCTATTAATTAGTCATGAGCCCTGTGGGGAAAATGTGTGAATTAGATATTGTTCTAGGTAAAGATAAAGAGGAAAACTGACAGTTTTAGCTAAGATCCATAGAGCAAACCAAGTTCAAAGTATTCAAGGTTAAGCTGGGCTTACAATGGGACAAGGTCAGAAGACCCAGCAGGGAGTAAGGGGCAGAATGGGTGGAAGAGAAAAGTGGTACTGGGTCACATGTGCTCACTTAAGTAGGATTAGATTTGAAATTGAACACCCACAGGGATAATTTACTCACATTAGTCAAGCACATGGCCTAGAGGTAACTCTGGGTGTAGCCTGAGCCGCAGTTAAGGGGGTTATGAGCATGGAAACAGATTCCTCTGAATGAGTTAAAAAAAGGGGGGGGGGGAATCTGTAGTGTAGGTAAAGTAGGAAAGTTATAGTATAAGGAATAGTATAATATAGAAAATATAGGATAAGTGTAATTTATAGGAAATTAAGCAAGAAACTGTGTGAAGTAGAAAATTATTAAAGAGAAATATTAAGAGAACATTTTGCCCACTTGGAGGCTGCCACACCCATCTGGCCCTGCTTGATGGTGAAACTGCAACCAGGAACCTTGATAATGAAAGTAATCTTGCCACACAAGAAGGACCCACTCTTCTGTGGCCAGTAGATACTGATAACCTGGACATCTGGTTATCAGAAGGATCAAACGAGAAGCAGTTTCAAACTGGCATAAAAAGAGAGGGCAGACGCAAGGCAGTTATCTCAGTTTCACGATGGCCCTGGCAGCCTCGTAGCGAGATCCTCAGAATGCTTTGCCATCCTGAGAGCAGAGCTTCATCTCCTAAACAGAGAGCAGGCTGAACGCCTTATCTTCTGAGAACAAACCATCGCCAGAACACATAATCAAGAGTTTGAGCTTCGCGGCCAAGCACCCAGTGCAGTCAGGCATCCAGCCGGAAGAAATCCAAAAAGTCCGTTTTCAAAGCTAAAGAATATCAGGTTGTATGATGCTATTTAATACGTGTGTGAAATGTTAAGAGAAGAGCATAGATGTGTTAATACATATGCTTAGTGTGTGGAATGTAAAGAGATATCTTATGGATAATTGAAAAGATTAGGAAATGTTAATTGATAAGTTGTATTAAGGCTAAAAAGCGTTTTATAGATAATTGATAAGTCAAATGGAAGTTAGAAATTGGCTTTATGCATTAGAATTAGTAGGATTAATAATTGTAATATTGAATTGCCTGTGTGTTGTCCATCATCAATCCCCCATGCCTATTAAGATTGTAAACCCCATTGATGCATTGGATATTGAAGTTGCTAGTAAAGAATCATTAAAAAGACAATTCGCTTGCTTGGTCTGTTACTCATCACTCTCTGGCGAGAAGGGCACTGAGTCCTCATAGCATTACTCGCAACGAACGTTGAGCTGAAACCCAACAGCTCGTGACAAAGGGGTAATGGCAAGAAATGGAAGGTGACTGTTTGAAAAGAAAGTTTCAATCCAGTGAGACCAGCAGGAGTTTGGAAAAAGGACAGCCTTGCTGAAGATGATTAAAAAACGATTTAGGTAGAACATACATTAGAAAGGGAACAGATAAAGGCTTATAAATATAGGCAATTGTTTACTGACTATGGGGGTCTCCAGTTATGAGATCTAAATAGCTACTAGCTCTTTATATAGATGAGGAAGTCTGGAAGATCTGTTTTATGTGTTAAAGATAATAGTTTAGTTTGAATATTAGAGCTCAAATACCAGGTATTCATGGGAACATCTGTTCAGTAGCCGCAGGTCTGCAACTCAGGAGAAATTTGGAAGTGGAGGGGTCGGGGAAGGACACTAAGAGTCAGTGGTATGTACTTGCAGCCTTGAGCATGAGGCCTGTGACTAAGTCTGTGTCACCATGCCACTAGATAAAAAGAACTAGAACCTGAGTTGATACATAAGGTGACATCTAAAGAGTGAGTGGAAAAGAGAATAAAAAAAAAAAAAACATTAATGCTGATACTGGGACTTGATGGAAGCCATGGTGGGAGAAGCTCCTGTTCTTATACAAGTCTCACTATAGCCTAACTATTAATGATATTAATAGTTCCTTACAACTCCAAGCTGAGAACCAAGCCTGATTGACATGCGTACACAGGAAAAGGGGTGGAGGCAGGTCAAAGAATAGAGAAATGTACCTTTGCACAGTTTATTCTGACAATTTGGGTAGCAGGAATTGCAGGGAAAAGGAGAGCCCTTAGAGACCACTGTCTGCTTTGTATGGTAATGGTGCAGGATATTATCATGAAAATATATCCTGGCAGGAGAGGTACAGAGTTGAAAAGTAGCCATAACACATAGACTTTGAACAAGCAGGAAGGTGTGGCATGCAAAGAGGATTCAAACAGCTGACGTAAGGCTGACACAAGGAAGGTCTTCGTTATTAATGCTTCAAATGTATAACATGGGCTTAGGTTTCATAAGTAAAATAGGAGACAGATGGGGAGAGGCACTTCTGTATTTTTGTTAATATTTATGAGTAAAATAAGTGAACAAATAAAAATTGTTAGGTGGAGTTGAGAAGAAAAGGATGGATGATCTAAGTAGCTATCTTAGAGAGAGTACAAGCATTGATCAGAAACATAGGTCCATAGTTATTGACAGAACATTTTGTAGGCTTGCTGGAGATATGTGGTCAAACGTTTGCAGTAGGAACACACCAGCAGAATTATAAATCACAGAAGCAGAATTTAAAATTGTTTTAAAATAAATATAATGGAAATGTATAAAAAAGAAAAGTGTTTAGGTTTTTTTTACTGAAATAGAAATCAATCTTGAAAATAAGTCATATATTCTACTTTCAATTTGTATGTCAAAAGTATTAGTCTTGGAAAAAGATCTGCTAGATAGTTTATTCACTGATGATATTTAGAACAGATTAATAAATAAGCGAGACTGTGTGTTAAAAGGGGCCGCTGAGCCTCTCTCCAGGCTTTTGAAAACTGTTTCATTCGTCACAGGTTATACAACTGAATTTGGCTTGAGCATCAACAGCACCCTGCCAGGACTGAGCAAAATAACATCAATACCTCTAAATGTCATCTGTAGCTACATGTTCACTGTAGAATTATTTACAGTCACCAAGGTAGAGATGTAACATCAGTATTTATCAGCTGATGAATTCATAAAGGAAATGGTACATTTTCATTGGTTATTTTACTTAATTCCAAAAGGGGATGATGTTGTTTGTAAAAATATTGGTGGACCCATTGGATACTTGCCAACTGAAACAAGCCAGACACAGGGGACCACACTGTGTGGTTTTATGTACATATAGATTCTATAAGAGGATTTTATAAAAAAAATACAAAATAAAATGTAACAGCTAGGATCTGGTGGTAGGAAATGGAACAAAGTAGCCAAATGTTATAAACTTTCTGTTCTAAAATAAATAATCTCCAGAAATCTAATATTCACAGTGGAGAATGTTGATCATTTAACTGCACTGTTTGTTCTTTCCCATGTATATGTGTTTTTTTTTGAGATGACTGGGATAGCCTTGAACTATTCATCTCTCTGCCTCCACCTCCAAATTGCTAGGATTACAGAAATGCACCGTCATGCTTGGCTTAATCATATTGTTTTACATACTTAAACATTTGATGAAAGAATAGATTTCAAGTATTATTTGTCACACTCAAACATGCACACACACAAATGCACATTTGAATATATTGTAACTGTAAAGTAAGCCATGTACTAATTTGCTTGAATATGTTAATCATTGCACAATTTATGTCAAATCTATATGTGAACTCATCACATTGTACAACTTTAACTATATTTTTATAATTTTTCTATATACCATAGTAAAACTGTGATATTACAACTTTGTCTATAGCCACATAATGGAATCCATTTCGGTTTGCTAAGGAAGGAAATGGAGAAAATAGAGAGAGCCTGCCACCAGGCTCCCATGGCTGTAAGCATCTGAAGATGAAGAAAGCTTTTTCTCAACTATGAAATAATGGAAAAGAAGCTGGATAGATGTCTCAGTGGTTAACAGCACTTATTGCTCTTGCAGAGGACCAGGGTTCAATTTCACTACAAATATGGAGGTTTACAGCTGTCTGTAACTCCTGTTACAAGACTCTCATGTCCTCTTCTGCCCTTTAGGGACCCTGGGCATAATGGTTAAGAATAGATACACATGCAAGCAGAACCATCCGACCCCAGAATTTTTTAAAGAAGAGTTTTAAACAACAAAAATGCAGGTAACAATATCTGATAAAAAGTAGCTTAAGAAATTATTAAATAGAGGACAGCCGTGGATCTTGGAACTTGGAATCACAGGAACTTCAGACAATAAATTAAAGTTCCTAAGAGTTTAGGGAAGAAGCCAGACATATAATTTTGAGACATTAATAAACCTCAGGGAGGAAAATAGATTACCCTCTCACACATACAGATAGACTATTATACTAAAATATTCTGCCACAATATCTGATCCTTGAAGCCCTTAGAAATAGCAAAGCTATTAAGAGGCAAATATTAAATCAAACAAAGACATCTCCAAAAATCAGATTTATATCCAAGTATTCACTGATCATAAGAAACAGTTGCAAACCTCCAAAATAATCAGAAAGATTGACATGAAAACCAAAAATGAAGTTCATAAGAGAGACTATAGATTTAGAAAGAAATATGAGTGTGAGGTCACAGAGAACCCAACCAATCCCGAAGAAGCCTCTAATGCTAATCACACCGTCATCAAACCAAAATTATATGGAATCAGGTAAATCATCAAAAGAATGCTTAGCTGCTGAACCCAGACCACCGCAGTAATTCAGATGAGCACTGTCTTCATAAGTGTGTGTAAAGAAGTTCCTTTTATGGTTAGGAATCTTATAGGAAAAGCAAGTGGGAAGGACCTGACACTGATCAGCCTGGTTTCTTCTGTGTCCTTTCCTCGCGTTCCTCTGAGAAAAGCCGAGACTTCTATCACAAACAAGGAACAAGACTTCTAAGTTGTAGAAGGAGGTATTATTTGTCACCTGATTCTCAAAAATAAAGGTCAAGTAGGTTCACGGAACTAAACATGTTGTCATTTTACATTTTAATCACTGTTTATAGTCATAAAACTGAGACCCATCACGAGATAAGATAAAATGTCAAGTCTACCCACAGCAATTTCTATAGAAGATCAGGTAGGGTAGCATTGGCTTTATTAGAACAGAAAATATGAAAAGATAACTTACAATTGATAGTAAATTAATACATGCTTTTCTCTTTTGGATTCTTAACTATGATTAATGTTTAACTTTTGGACTCTTAATTATTATTAATGTTTAAGATATTCCAACGTGCTGGGTGGTGGTGGCCCACACCTTTAATCCCAGCATTTGGGAAGCAGAGGCAGGCAGATCTCTGTAAATTTGAGGCCAGCTTGGTCTACAAGAGCTATTTCTAGGGCAGGTTCCCAAGCTACAGAAAAACAAAAGGAAGAAAGAAAGAAAGAAAGAAAGAAAGAAAGAAAGAAAGAAAGAAAGAAAGAAAAAGAAGAAAGAAAGCAAGCAAAATAAAATTCCAAAGTTTACATAATAAGGATCAGAATTGAAATCACAATTATTTGCTAAAAATCTCATACACACTAACTTAAAATACTTAGGATTTAGCCTTCACTTAGGAGGTGGGGCTCAATTCTGCTAAGTCTGCAGAGTGAATTTTCAACTTTTAAAGGGGAAAAATTTGGCAGAGTAGATCATCACCTTCAGCTTTAAAATATGCTCACTGTGGGGTTTCATACCTTACTTTTGAATTTCCATGTTTTTAAATCATTCCTAAGTCCCTTACATCACCAGCATTTTCATCTCTGTCATGGCCAATCTTCTATTCACCAGGGAACCCAATTTGTAGTTTATCTTTAGAAAGCTCTTAAGAAATAATGAAGTATTTTTCCATTGTTAACACTTCACTAGCTGTGTTTGCTAAGACATATGGGCAGATTAACTTACATACAAGTCAAACTTAGCCTCGCTTTTATATTTTACTTCCAGGTGACTCAGTTTTTTTATTAGCCAATTCAGCGAAACTTCATTACAACTTTATCAGATCATATGGTCGACATGAAAATGGACATGATGTGCTGCATGTCACTGTATGAGGACAATGGTGAGTCCAGGATCCATAAAAAAAGTGGCTAGTCCATCCGTGCAGGGATTTGAGATGAATCCAAGAGGCCTGCAGCCCATGTTAGGTTTTAAAGAATGTCCAGAGGTTAAAAACTGACAGATGCTATGGCTAAATTATCCCATCCAGAAATAAAATGCTTCTTTTTTTTTCAGATAAATGTCCAGATACACAAATTCTAGCGTACATATAGGACCTGAGACTGAAAAGTGGCAAACACTGAAATGAGATTGATATGCAGAGACAGGGGTGAGTATGGTGTTTTAGAAACCTTTGGTGATATACTAAAGGTTTTTATTGTTATTATTATGTTACATATGAGTCACAGAGAGGGAATCAGAGTTACACTTTGGATATTATGCAGCTGTTACAGAAATGGAATAAAACCAAGACATTTTAATCTGCATTCTGATGGGATCCTCGCTGTTCTGTCAAAGAACTCAGTTTGGCCAGGAGTTGGAAAGAGAGAACATAATTAAAATCTTCAAATGGGAACATTATTTTTGATAAACTCTAATCTCTGAATTCTACCTCCTTCATTCTGACTTTGGAGACTTTCCAACGACTGGGGCTTCGATTGAGCTGGACACATTGCTAGGCTTTGAGGAAATAGCTATTACTCTGTCTGATTGATGGGGATATAAGCAGAAGGCAATTTGTCCTCTCCTTGGAGAGGCTGACAGCGGCCACTCTAATGTGCAGTGTAAGATGAAGGAGACGTCAGTCAGGAGCTGCCCAGTGGCAGGAGGGAAGTCAGAAAATCACTTACTGCTCATTTGCCGTGAAGCCCACGCAAGCCATTTTGGCTTCTGCCTGTAGAATGCCTGTGTCCTTCTCAATTACAATAGAATTAGATGCATTAATAACTAGGCCACGTATTTCTTTTCCTATAGCTATTTTCTTTCTGCTTATTCAGGAAACTGTTGTGATCTTTTATTTTAAACTAAGCTAAGAACAATTTTTATGTCCTATTTTGGGTACATAATTTTAGTTTGTTTTTGATTTTAATAGAATTTATTCATGATACGTGTGTCCACCCATGTATGTTAGAGGCAATGTGCAGGAGCTGGTTCTTTCCTATCACCACAAGGTTACACAGATTGAACTGCATGTCATCAGGTTTAATATCAGTACTCTAAACCCACTGACCTGTCTCAGGGTCTTTCGGCTAATATTGTAGAGATATTGAGAATATAATGAATATAATGGTTTGGCACTTGTTAACAAGTTAACAAGTCTGTCAAATAAAACAAATCAGTTAATCCTCAAATTTATATTAAAAGTTATTATACTTGTAGTGATAGTTTTATAGAACAATCTATAGACTCTCAGAAAGATACTCTAAGAGACTGACAAACAAAAATGACAATAGGATTAGTTTATATTTCTACAATTTGTACAGATGGTTGCAAAATTTCATTGGTTTCTTGAAGATTAAAAATCATGTTATAGAGAAGATAAATAAAGAAAGACATTTTAGTGTCTACCATTTTAGATAATAAAACACTGTAAAAAAAAAAAGGTCACAATGGATGCTGCCCTTTTATCAGCTTTCTTTATAGGTGGTGTGTGTACTTACATGCTTTCACCCACAGGCACCCATGTGCCATACAGATGCACACTTAGTGTGGCTGTTTCTATTCAGCAGTAACAGTGATATTTATTAAACATGAGTATATCCAAAGCAAGAAGATAAACATACATAAAATGTGCAAATTTATAAGACAATGTGTCTCTGTTTGTGGGACTTATGAATCTACTAACACCAAAATCTCAGTCTGTGTCTTATGCATGCACTATTGGGAGAAAAATAAGCAAGGTTTTCACCATCAGAAGCAGAATTTAAGTCCTGCTGATCAAATAATACTACATTTTGAAAGCCATGTAATTGCTAAGATTGCTTTAATCATTTTTAGATTAAGAAGTTTAATTTCTGTTATTGTGTTGTTTTATAAATATGCAAACAGTTGGTGTATGTATGTATATATATATACATACATATATACAGCCATAACTTCAAATATATTTATGTTGTATATGTATGGAAAAAGACAAAGAGAAATACAGAGGTACATACACTCAAATATATATGTAAGCATACATATGTGTGTGTAAAAGTAAATGTATTTTTAAAGTTCCATGCAATTTAATCCTTCTTAAAAGCTACATTACTCAGTATAGTTGGTGAGATAGCTCAGCAAATAAGAATGTTTGCTATCAAACATATTAACTTGAGTTTCATGCATGATTTAAATGAAAAATCAATTCTTAGAAGTTTTCTTATTTCTGTTTTTCAGTCACGTACCATGGAGGGCTCACCTACACATAACTGTATACATGCATGGTTGTATATGTATGTATGTATGTATGTGCGCATGTATGCATTTCTAATTAATATTTGCAAATGTTACCACAAGGATTATAATGTCAAAAGGGAATAAATGAGACCCTTTATATCAATGTAAAAAAGATCTGACATGGAGTTAAAAGACCAACTTACTAGCCAACAGCTAAAAGCATTTATGAGGATTTAAGAACAGCCAGTGTATCTGAGAAAATAATTGGTAACTATCTTCAACAGTCATATGCGACTAACACCTGCCATATTGGGCAGGACAGATGTTAAAGAGAAAGATACAGCATGCTATCAAAGGGCCACCACACACACTCACACACACACACACACACACACACACACACACACACATCAGGTCCCATATTCAGAACACTATAGCAACATTTTGTCTTATTCTGAATTTTAAAACCATTACATGCACATCTACAACTATTCATATGCTCATACTCTGTACACATAGGAAAAATACAACTAAGATTACAGGTTCAGATCTGCAGGATGAAGCTGGCTGGGTGCCCTGAGCCTGTGGGGGGACTGCAGGAGAATACAGAGTTCTCAGCTATCTCAATAATGTACTTAGTTGTAATGAAGTATTGCTTCATAAGCTTTCGCTTTCTTGCATATATTCTGTTTCATATATCAAGATAAATTACAAAATAATAGAATCTCTGTGTATATACTACTAAGCACAATGTTTATCCCATAGAAAAATTATAAATAACAGTAATTTTATTTTAATGTTTGCTATTAAACCAAAATAAAATTGTGAGGAATCACATTAAGGTAAGTGTGCCTATATAAATATATCCAATTTTCTAAGCTAAGAATCAAGAGACAGGGTTCATTTTTTTGGTTAATGGCCCTAGACATTAAGTTTGACTTATTATCAACTTAGTTTCATTTGCTATTGACACAAAGTCACCATCTATAGTCCAGATTGGCCTTGGATTGCCATTCTTTTTCTTCCATTGCCTGAGTGATTGGTCTGGGGTTGTGGGTGTGCTCTCCAAGGTTGAGTATGAATTTTTCTTTATAAACTACACAGCAATTGGTAGTAGGCTCACCCCTTTATTTTCTGCATTTTTCTCTCTCTGCAGGGCAGAGGACTCTTCCAGACACACAAGACAGAGTAAATACTTACTGAAAGAAGTTACAAGCCACTGAACGAATAGAAGTTGGGTTTGTTGGTTTTCAGGGAGGTCTATTAACTTGAACAAACCATGCCTGCTCTTTTGGTACTGATTCACTTTGTTTCTGAAATTAATAGACTCCATACCACGTTCTTTAAGGTGCTGCGAACACTGAGGCTCGTCACGTTATAACACTCCCAGCAACTTCCCACAGGAAGGATTGGGTTCTTCCCTTACTGTAATGATGTTTTGATTTTATTTCAGAAATACAGAAGTTTTTATAAGTTTTTTGTTTCCTGAAAGCAGAATTTCACCTTGTACTATATTTATTTATGTACTAGTTACTCCGTGTGTACATGACGTGCGTGTCTGTGATGTCATATTGTGTATCTGTGTGGCTGTGCACGCTGTGAGCACGGGTGGAATTCAGTGGGCCACTTTGTGGAGTTGCTTTTCCCCTTTCACGTTTATGTGGGGTCCCAGGGCAGATCATGATTCGCTTCACTCCTGGAGCCACCATGTCAGCCCTATGACCTTTCTTGTCAAACGGCACTCATGGTGAACCCAATGGTGTCAAAGGTCATTCTTCAGGCCACATTAAAAATAGAGACGAACTGAGCATGGTGGCACACACCTTTCCAGCACTCAGGAGGCAGAGACAGGTAGATGTCTAGGAGTTTGACTCCAGCCTGGTCTACAAAGTGTGTTCCACAACAGCCAGAGCCACTACACAGGGAGACTCCATCTCAAAAACTAAATAAATAAGTAAATAAATAAACAAATTAATTAATTAATATAAAGTTTATTGCCATATCTCAAATGAGGAAATATGCTTGGGGTGTTAGAAGCAATGTGAACTATAGTTGTCTTATACCTTATGATATAACTATACATAGAAGATTATATGTAAGGATAGTGGAGAGATGAAGATTCCCAGTGAGAACATTGAATGCACACAGCACTCAGAATTTCTACAGCTCATACACTAGGGGATCATCTAACAGGAGAATGTAAAATGGTGACTGCAGAACTCTGAATGTTTTCTATCAGGAAGCCACTTTCTTCTATTTCTGTTTTTTATTTAAAAAAAACCTTTTTTTATTTTACATACCAATCCTAGTTTCCATTCCATGCCTTTCTCCCATTCCTGCTACTGTATCCCGACACCAGCCCCTACCTCCACTCCACAGAGAGGGTAAGGCACATTGTTTGGGGAAGGTCCAAGGCCCTCCCGACTATATCTAGGCTGAGCAAGATATCCATCCAAAGAGAATGGGTTCCCAAAAAGTCAGTACAAGCAGTAGAGATAAACCCTAGTGCTACTGCCAGTCACCTTGCAGTCTGCCTCAGCCATGCAACTATCACCCACAATTAGAGGGACCAGTTAAGACCTATGTTGTTTCCTTCCCTATCCCACTGGAGTTGATGAGTTCCCATTAGCTCAGGTAGACTATTACAGTGGGTGTCCCCATCATGGTCTTAACATCTTTGCTCATATTCTCACTCCTCCTACTCTTCAACTAGACTGTGGGAGCTCAGTCCAGTGCTCAGATGCAGTTGTCTGCCTCTGTTTCCATCAGTTGGTGGATAAAGGTTTTATGGTGCTATTTAGGATATTCATCAGTCTGACTACAGAGCAAGGCCAGTTCAGGGACCCTCTCGTCTATTGCTTAAGGTCTTAACTGGGGTCATCCTTGTGGATTCCTGGAAATTTCTCTAGTGCCAGGCTTCTTGCTAACCCTATAATCAATCCCTCAATCAAAATATCTTTTTCTTGCTCTCATCTCTGTCCTTCCTCCATCTTGACTATTCCATTTCCTCAAGTTCTTCTCTCTGTTCCCCATCTCCTCTCCTCTTCCCTTTCTACCCTCCCTATTTCCCCCAACCCCAAGCTTCTAATTTTGTCAGGCGAACTTGTGTATTCCGACTTTCCAGGTAGACCTAGGTATGTTTTCCTTAGGATCCACCTTGTTACTTAGCTTCTCTAGAATCATGAACTGTAGACTCAATATCTTTTGCTTTACAGATAGTGTCCATTTATGAGTGAGTGCATACCATGTTCATGTTTCTGGGTTACCTCAGACAGGATGGTTTTTTTCTAGTTCCACCCATTTGCATTCTAAATTAAAATATAAGACTTTCCTAGAACTTTTCATGTTATTTTATATACAGTTTAAGTTTCAAAATCTTCACAATGAAGAAAATAGCAGCGTCCGTATTATTTTAGGGTTTAAGGAAAATCTCCAGTGGAAGGATTTTTCCCTTAGCACAAAAAGCCTCTGTGGTTGTGTATTATTTAGAGAACTGCGAATTTTTTAGGGCATTTTTCTCCTTAGCTAAAGATGCAATGAAAACCAAGACTGAATGCTGTAGGAAATCCTTCAGTCAGTAGCCTTTAAATTGCCAGCACAATGGGGTGTGGCCTTAAACTATAAATGCCAATGTAAAGTGCATGCTCCCTCTCCCTTCCAGCTGCTGGATTAGGTTGCTGGTCCCTATTCGAGCACAGGACTGTGATCTGCGAGTCTACCCTTAAATAAATAACCCTTTATTGTAACTCAGTTCTGAGCTAGTGTGGGATTCCTTTTTAGCATCTGTCTTCAACTGAAAATTTTACACAGCATGTCACTCTACAAAGTAAATTTAGCATTCACACTCTTTGTGGCTTATCTTTTTGTCTGAATAAAATTGTATAGGTAACTTAAAGATCACTATAAACATTTTGGTTCTACATAGCTTTCCATCCTGGAGCTAGGCATGGGCAGCTTCTCAAGCAGAAGTCAAGGGTATTCACCCAATACCCTGAATCATTAACACACAGCTTCTACTATGAACAGACTCAGCACCATTGATATAGGGCTGCAGGGTGTTATGTCACCATTGGACATGTGTGGTGGTTTGAGTACATATGGTCACAATAGACTCATATATTTCAATGCTTGGCCCATAGGGTGTGGCGCTATTAGGAGGTGTGGCCTTGTTAGAGTAGGTATGGCCTTGTTGGAGAAATGTGTCAATGTGGAGTTAGATTTTGAGGTCTCATCTGCTCAAGCCAATCACTCCTTGATTCTTGTGGATCAAGATGTAGATCTCTAGCAGCATGCCTGCTTGCCACCATGACTGAAACTCTGAAACTGTATGCAAGCTCCAATGAAATGTTTTCCTTTATAAGAGTTGTCATGGTCATAGTGTGTCTTCACAGCAATAGAAACCATAACTAAAATAACACATGAGGCCTGTTATGCTGCCATATGCCATAAAATACTTTGTCTCTCATCCAAGAGTCTTCTCATCTTCTGTGAGTATCGGTGAATCTGACTTATATGTGACATATAAGATGAGCATTTACTTTATAACTTATCCTTAGCTGGCTTTTGAAGGAAGCTCTGTTGTTTCCCACATCTGTGCTTCCAAATTTGTACAACCTGTGGTTGGGATCATACATAGACTACAACCCACCATTGATATTTTTAGGCTAGAGAATCGACGAGAGAGCCAAGTTTCAGGTGCCGTGATAATACAAATTAATTGATTACCGCCTGTACTTTAGATGCCAATTGTCAATAAGTTGCTCATGGCTGACACAGTCAATAGTGTTAAACAAATAGCTTTATCTGAGTAAAACACCCTGAAGTAAACACAGAATAGGGTAAATCATAGCAAAAGACAGATTCACTGTAAAAGTAGAAAACACACGATTTCCCAAGTGCATTCTTGTGGTTTGTTCTAATGCCAACAGAGATGTTATTTCTTAGTGCACTCTATGGGAGACTTAGTATCATCAAGAAGGAGGAGGCACCCCACAATGTACGAGTCAGGGTTAGATCAGGGATGTTAAATTAAGAAATGAAACAAATGCTAGAATGAAGGGAAGTTATTTAAAGGAATGGGAGTCAGAGAAAGCAAGACAGAAAGTAGAGTTTCGTAAAAGACGTGTAGGACCTAAGAAGGTTTCTTACTTAGTTGCCATGTCAGATCCATATGTAAAAAACCATTTTTAGCAATAAATTATTATTTTAAGTATTTATGAAGTACTGAAAGTATATTGATGATACATTTTGTAGTTGCACAAAAGCTCACTCCAAATGAATCAAAGACCTAAACCTGAAATACTGAAATAGTCAGAAGAATGCATAGGCAGTGCCCTCCAGGATACAGGGGCAGAAGGACTCCATTTGCTCAAGAATTAATGCCAAAATTGGTAAGGGGAACTTCATGAAACTGAAAGTTTCTTCACAGGGATCTGAAGAGAGAGTTATCAAAAGAAGAAGAAAATGGCTTAAAAATATACCCCCAATTTTTTATTATGCCTAGCAATTGGGGAAACTCAAACCAAAACAAATTAGAGATGCCAATGTACCTGATTTAGAATGGCAGAGATTAACAAAACAATAAACACATGATTGGAAGTATGGGAAAAGGGGAACCCTCATTCAATGTGGGTGAGATTACAAAGTAGTACTGTCACTCTGGACATCAGTGTGAAGAATTCTCAAAGACCAAAAGATAAATCTACTATATCACCTTGCTACAATGCACTTTCAACTCTACAGCCTCTAATTCCAGTAGAATGTTGAGTGGTCCTAAGTGTAAAGCTTAACATTCAAGGTCAGACACTTTAGGGTATTGTAGCCAATGTTAGAAATTTTTACAAATTTCTTGCTAGGTATTGAGTTCTGTCCTGGAAACCCTACTTTAACATCATTCCAAAGGTATCTCATTGATATTTTTCTCTTGGTTTTCTCTTCCCCCAGATGTTCATAAGTTTTGAGATATTCTGAAAATGTGTAAATTATAGCTTTGGAATTTTAAGACGTAATTTTTTTTCCCATATACATATAAATCAGATTTGGTGACTGAAATTGAAAGCAAAACTCAACACAATCTTTCAGGGTTCTACTTAGAATTCAAGGAACTTGCTGATGTTACTGAAGAACATATCACACGCTTTCTGTAAACTTAGATGCAATGAATCTCATGGTTCACTCTGATTTTGTAGACCCAAGTCTACTCTCCATGGTACCATTGGGAGATATTGTTCACTAAAGAAACTATCTTGCTCAGCCTTGATGCAAGGGGAAGGGGATTGGTCCTGCCTCAACATGATATGCCAGTCTTCCTTGACTACCCATGGGAAAGCTAACCCTTTCTGAGAAGTGCATGGTGGGTTGGGTGGAGAAAAGGATGTGGGGAGGAGGGAAAAGAGGACAAACCATGTTTGGTATGTGAAATGAAAAAAAACTTTTAAATAAAATTTTTTAAAAAAGAAACTTACTTGTAAAGTCTA